TAGCTGAAGTCGCTCGATCACGCACCCGCACCAAATCGCCAGTGAGTACGCCGTACTTTACTTGTCTTACAACCGCTACCAACTTGATATTCTATCAAATATATCTTCGAGCCAATTAGCTTCTCATTTCACTGAGTTGGCACTTTTCGACTACAAAAGGTTTTGCTGGTGAAGATGTAGTCAAACTCCCAACACTTGTGGCATTTTTGTAAACATCAGGCTTTCAAACGTTTTTTAACAGAATCGTCAAACTTTTACTTAAAAATGAGTATGTATATTAAAAGAACATTTTGACAGTGGGAAAACATGGTTCTTTTTATATCCCTCCTAGAAACCGAAGGACAAAACAATTGATTTGAAAGTAAGCCTCATTGGTTGCGCATTTTTGATAAGAGACATCTAGAGTATCACGAAGAGTAACACGTGATTCGTTCCCAGTGATAGACAGTGCGAAAAACGAATCGCCCAGATATCGTGAAGTGAACGAAATGTCATTACCGTTCATCATTAGGATTCTGGATTTACAAGTATTGGAAAGGAGAAAATTTTGTCGGTCCAGTCAAGTATCTTCATTAAAGGTTTCCTTAAAAGACCATACATTAGCGAAACCAGAAATCTCCCTAAGAATCATCGAATCATCTGCTTAAGGAGAAATCTGAGTGTCGAGATAGTTAGGTCGGTTCTTAGTGAACAATAGGGAAAGGGGTAGCCTTGTGGCATCACACTTGTCATTTGAAACCACTCTGACAGTACAGATGGAACTCTGACAGCTTGTAGTCTCCCGTTTAGGTAATATGAGAGCCACGAAAGCAAACACACACTTATTCCTACAAACTATGGCTTTCTGAGGAGGATGTTACGGTCAACCGTGTCAAATAACTTGAGGTAACTGGAAGGTTGGTATCAATAGGATGGTTGTGTTTCAGCTTGACAATGTGGATATTCCAGCAAGTCAACATATCCGTGTGAAGTGACGTGAATAGAAGGAAGCCATGTGAGCCAGAATCTAAAGGGTTATCAAGTAGGCAATCAAGGAGGGTTAATTTGAAACTATTTCTGCAACCCTCGCAACTGTAAAGATAAGAGAAATCGGTCGGTGGTAGGAAGCTAACATACTAATATTATAAAATACCCTCAACCATATCAGTGGTTAGTCTATCTTTGGCCAATTAACATTTGAAGATGATAACCAGAAGAAAAAGGAAAGAAAGTCCGTACACACACTCAAAACTCCAGTTCTGATATCATATCAGACAGGTTTGTATGGATCTAAGCGCCTTGTATAAGTTGCTGCCGCCTTTTTAATTGGTTCATTTTTCAGCTTGTCAATACACGGAAGATTCTTGTTATTCTTACTAACCTCCGATGCACGACAATCGGATCTAATTTGATATCGAACCAACATCATGTTGATTCTGGTTGGAGAGTAGTGTAAGGTGATAGAGTCCTACTCATACAATCCTCAAAAGTGAACACGAAATAACTGAGAAAATAAATATTCAACACTTAACGCGGAGAAAAATCCAACGATGGAGAAGGCACGAACAGAGTTGAATTAATTCGAATTAATCGGACGGCATGGCTCGGCTTTGCAGGCGTGGTCTTATCCATATTAGATATATTGTTCTATCTTTAGACTAAATGTGTTTTTCATCATGTATTGATAATTGTCACAACGCGATGAATCATGATAGACGATGATGTGACTTTCACTTAAGGTCTTATAGAATAGGCAATTACATCATAACAAATCTACAATTTTTGGACTAGGTCTATCAGCGTTACGGGAGAACTGAAGACATTTGGCTGATTAAAACCTTTATATTAATTAGTCTCAATTTCACTACGTTTTTGGATGTATTTGTTTTAATCAACTTCTGGACTTGTTTCTTTATATCATTGCTTTTGGACATTTTAGTTTCTCTTTGTCGTTAGTTTTGTGATTGGGAGTTTTCGCTCCGGTAACCTACTAAATTGAGCAACGACATTTGGGTCGACTATTTGTAAATCGCGAGTGAACTTTGATGGATATACTGTGCATCAATAACGGGAACGAGAAGAAACTTGGACGTAACATAAAGTTCTTTAGTTTTTAGTTCTGTGGTCTTCAAACCTTAGATTTTTGGACATTACTGAGGAAGAAAAATTTAGAAAAGAGAATTGGGTTAGAATGGCAGCTTAAGATGTTAGATCTCCAAGAAGAGCTTGATATGGCTGAACAAGCATGTAAGGTCATAGAGGACGATAACCAGCTGCCCATAGACAAGTGTGAGAAAAATGCTAAAGTGAAAAGGAATTTGGATTGAGATACTGGCTGTAATAATCATTCAAGGGAGATACTTAGCATCTCTAAGGGCGACTGTGTTGATGACTTGAAGGATATGTTACATACTATGGTTAATAATACGGCTTTACATAATGTTGATATGTGTTTTGATGGACAGCCAAGTCAGTCCTGCCGTTTTATTAGTCAGTTTAGCAGCATTATCGAAAGTAAGCTATCCGACAAAGTCTAAATGTTGTTTTATTTGTTATGTGATTGCAAAGGAAAGATCAGGACGACTAATGAAGCTTGCATTTCTTTGCCCGGTCAATTGGGTTATGATAGAGCTAAACGAATTTTATATGACCTATTTGGTAAGGAGCACCTTGTTGCATGAGAACCGGTTACTGATTTATTGAGCCACAAATCTGTTGGAGGATCAGCTGAAGTCTTAACCGACTTCGCGATTAAGCTACGTAATGTATGTATAATGTTGAAGAAAATGGGGTACATGTCTGATGTTAATTTTAAAGCAAATTTGGAAATAATAGTTTCATGCCTGACACTAGAATTACAGAATAAGGGGGTGGAAGTCGCCGATAAGATCATGATGCACGGGAAGGAGTAGAGCTTTGAAGAATTTGTTGTCTTTGTAAATGAGAGGTCCCGGATTTACTAGCCGAATCAGATCGGGCAAAAGCTGAGACTTTTTCAAACTACTTTAGCGAAGTCTACTCTACGTGTATTGTTACAAATACTTATCCCAATCACACCGAGATACCATCCATTGAATCTGTACATGTGACTGAGGAAACTGTTCTTCTATTGGTCACTAACCTCAAACCTTTAAGATGCCAGGCCCTGATGGGTTACATCCACGACATCCGTCATCCCTCGCGGACATCATTTCAAGATCACTCGCGGTGCCCTTCAACATATCCCTTTCACTGGTTCAACTTCCTAGATTGGAAAGACGCTATAGTCAGTCCTGTATTTAAGGATGGTCAGAGACAGATCGTATCTAACTACCAACTTTCCAGTCTTACCAGCATAGTCCTTAAGTTATTTGAGAAGATAATTCCGGTTAACTTACCAAGTCACATAGATTATTACAATCTGTTAACTCCCGAGCAACACGAGTTTTGAAACAAGCATTCATGCTGGACTAACTTATTGCGAGAGGGGAATAGACGGCATCCCTAGATAACGGTCTGTCTGTCAATGTGATATTCATAGACTTTAACAAAGCATTTGACAAGTTTTCACAAAAAGGTTATATGCAGAATCTCTCGAGCTTCGTGATAACAGGTGATGTACAGGAATGGTGAGAAAACTTCTTGTGTGACCACAGACAGAGAGTGCGGGTTAATGGAACGTTATCCGAATGGAAGCTGGTCAAAAGTGATGTACCCCAATGCACTATATCAAGTCTCCTACTCTTTCTTCTCTACGTTAATAAAATGCCGTGATTGCTTAAGTCGTCGACATTATTGTTTGCGAATGATGTCAAAATCTGGGGAACAGTCAGAAGTGAGGTTAATCATTTCGATCTCCGAGTTGACCTAAACGAATTAACCAGATGGGCTTAGGGTTGAGGCTTATAAGTTATTTCTAGAAGAGTGTACTCATGCACGTCGTACACGGTAATAGTTACCAGTATACTATTAATGGCACGTTCAGGAACATGAAGACGCACTTAAAATGCCTAAACCTTTTCCCCTTGTCGTACCCCAGTATTCTCAGTGACTTTATACTGCCATTTTGTATCTTTAATTACGATCCGGGTGTTAATGTATCTTATTATTTTGCTCCCTCCAGCTCTGATAATCTCCAAGGTCATATAAAAGAAGTTCACAAACCGTGATCTGATAAACTTAAAGTGGGGTTCTTTATTTCTTATTGAATAGTCAATGACTAGGACGCCCTACCCAGACAAGTGGTATCAGCCTCATCAGCGAACATCTTCAGGAAGAAGCTGGAACTTCACCGGAAGGCAAACTGTCAGGATTAACTAGGGGCACTGACATACTATCCTTGCTACTGAAGAACGAAACACCAATTTTTTCCAAACGATTCTACTTAAGTTCCACTCCAAATACTTTTGTTGAGACGTTTCGTAGTCTACTACTTTCGACTACATGAAATTCTGAACAAATTTTCCTGCAAGCCTTTTCATTTTCGGTTCTGAATAGATGTCCTGTTATTTAGTACTTGTAACTAATTTTAATTGATGTGAAGAAGTTTTAAAAATTATTGTGGAATCATTGAGAGGTCTAGCTTTTGGTAGATCTAGGTTTATTCTGAGGCTTCACTTTGTGCTATAGTAGCTTCTTTAGATCCATATGTAAAAGAATCTGGTAAGAAAAGACGAGAAAATATCTAGTTTGACAGCCGAGTAAGAACGCTGAACTCACTTAGTTTTTGATAAAAAAAGTCCTCGATATATCAATCACACAGTTGCGGGATTAAAAAAATTAATAAATAAACATACAAGTGAACAAAGTGAGACCTCGAGTGGGTTATATCAAGGCATTTGTGATTCATGATAGGTAAAACCTTAAAAACTAGCTTCCAATCTTACGCTGAGTATTTTCGAAGTGCTTCGATAGCTTACACATGAAAGTAGTCTAAATGTTTTACTTTCTATATCAGTTAAGTACTTCTTTGAACGTGGTGAATAGTGAATACATTTGAGAAGTGGATTTTCAGTTAATGTGTCTACGATTCTAGGTCACTGATGTTTTCTAAAAAGCAATCTGATGGATCGAGGAGGTTGCTCGAGAAAAAAATGTACCTCGTAGGTTAAAACCAAATGCTACCTAAAATGAGAAACTCAATTGAAATTGCTGGCATTGATTTCAATATAAACGATTTGTCGATTTATAAATCGTTACATTAATGTAGCTCAAGTAACCAGTAAAAAGGAAATAAAGGCGAATAAGAGGAAATAAAGTGTGAATTCCGTTAGAAAATCAAGGAGGAACGCATAAAAATAATGCGGGATTTCTCCTTTTTGTCGCTGTCTGTCTGAAATACCGCAGAATGATCTCCTTTTCGCCTAGTCCCAAGTGTCTCATATGTTCACCTTTATTTCCATTGTACAACACGATGACTGCTGTCAAATACATTAAAAAAATGATACGTGGATTAAGATGTTTATTAACGAGAAATAATATCATAGTTTATTGGGAGATCAACAACTGTTGATCTGTCTATTGATAGACAGATGCTCGTTACGTATTTTAATTGTAAGTCCAGTATACCATTGTCATTTACGACGATCAAAGGAAGTTACAGATGATGGACTATTTATGTCCTCACTAATAAGTGCATATGAAACCGGACAGGCCCTCACGAAGTACGCTTCATTAGTTCCAACGTGTCACGTGCACGTCAGAAAGTCAGTTCATCAAAAAAACGGTGAGACTATGCTTTGTGGACAACCTGTGATCGACGCTCAAGTGACCCTGATAATTTTCATTTATTAACTAGGACTAAATAACTTATAAAGCAGTTTGAGGAATTAGAACTATAGGTTACAGTTGATAATTAGGAACTAGGTTTAGAGTTTTCATCACGAACTGACATCAGCTAAAATACCAAGACGCTATATAGCTAGATGGGCAAATGAGTTTCGCGCCAAGACCTGTTATCTTATATCTGACTCGTTCGTCCATAAATTATAGTCTGGACGAAAAAAAGCTTCACCAAAAATTAAACACGAAAAAATTTCAGTAATATCGCTTTTCCTAAGCTGTGTTGCTATGACGAATCAAAATAATTCTCTTGTGAATCCTGAAATTTAGTAAACGCATGGTGTCGTGGTATGAAATTAAGCTGTGCAGGACTGTCATCTGTTGGTCCGTCACGACTCTTTGGTTGGGGTCCTAAAATTGGTGCAACACAGTGGCTTGAGACGTTATCAGATATGATTCAGGATAGAATCCAACGGCTATCCTTCTGCAATTTTCATTCACTTCATAAAAATGAATGTAACGTCCCTAATTAATAGAACTTTCTGGTTATATTTTTCCTAACTGATTTGCCTCTCCTATAATAAAGTAATAATAATTATTATTGTCTTTTCAAACCCTCATTTTTATTGTATGGTGCATGTGTATTTGGTGCCCCCTTGTACCAAAGTTAAGGTGTTCAAATAGATAAATAAAACGTTCACCTAATTAAAATCATCGTTTGAACTTCAGACAAATGGTTTCTTCATACTTATCAGAAAAGCAGTGGCTCACTAGTCAGGGTGTTGGACTCTCAGCCACTAAGTAGTCTGTACCAACCCTTCTCCCGTCTATTTCGGTTCGACTGACTGGGTACTATCACTAATAACCCTCACACTTAGAGTTTAGCTTCAAGTCAAGTATACAAGCCTGTACCTGGTAAATGAATTGATAATAATCTATCATACTTATAAATTTTCCTTGTTGACTTGAATACCTTCCTCCTTTTATATGTACTTTCTGTGTTGTACTATTTGTAAGTGTAGTGATTTGAACTCAATTATTTTGTGTCAAGTATTTCTTATTAAGCTATGTACGTGGAGAATACGTTTGAGATATTAGAAATATTTGTTTAATTTTTTAAAATTAGGTTGCCAGTTTTTTAAGTGAATTTTTTATTTCTTAGTATTTCGTAATATATTTACAAATATTTTCTTTTTGAGATTGTATACCTATTCTATTTTCTAAATCTGTATACATTTTAGGCTCGAGAACGTCCAGATGATATATTTGATCTGTCTTCGTGTGAACTTAAAATGGTAATATATATACTTTATATTTGACAGGATTACAATTAATATTTAGATTCCTGAAGGAACTTTTTCACTTGTTAAAGTTTTACTAAAAACAAAATTGTATTTACAACAAAATTCCTTACAAAAACTTGATTCCGGTGGTAAACTAACATATCTTCAAAATATTGTACTGCTTGATATAAGTTCAAATGAATTTCAACAATTACCTAATAATATTTCTGAGTTGAAATGTTTACAGGTAATATTTTGATTATATTGTTTCCGGTAAAATTAATAGCCTAAAATTATATGTTTAGGTTTTAAATGCTTCAAAAAATCTATTATCAACATTACCATCTACCATAACATCTCTTTCTCAACTTTTATTTCTTAACATTGAAGGTAAATTGAAATATAAAGATTTTCACGATAATTTTACGCTATACTATTTTCTCCCAGTGTTGTTCACACATGTCCTTAGATTGATATTCTTTCTTGTGTGTATATGGGTTTTATGTTTTCCCGTTGTTGATATTCGAGATCACATCTAACCAATCTCTGTTGGTATATTTGTTCCTTGAGTGAATGCCTCGATATTTTCTGTGACTACAAGTTAATTGTAAGTATTTTAGATAATGGATAGTATTAAACTCAGGTCCCATCTGATTTGAGGCTGCATCTCAGTATTTTTGTTTACACAGATGCAAAACCAAGCATTTGTCGCTTGAAAAGTTAACTCACTATCAATTTAGTGACAGCCACTGCAACTTTTAACTTATACAGTGGATATAACGTTGTTTATTTTTATTTCCTTTCGTTCTTATTAAGTAAGATTATAAACGAATATTTCTGGTTAAGTAAATATTGTTCCAATAACTTAACAAAATGTTCGATACTCAATAATGAACTGTAGATTTGTAAGCAAACTTTCACTCAATATTCATTGTACTTAAAAATATTTCAGTTGTTTTTAATTAGATAAATCTTATTTTTCCTAAATATCGATTGTTTTATGGTCAAAAATCGTTTGAACCGCATTAAAACAATAATATTCAGGGAACCAATCAAATTTAAGATGACGTCTATTAGAGTGTGTTCAAATACAAAACGCAGCGAAAGATAACATACATCTTACTGAAAAGCAAGTAAAATTGTCTATACTCAGTTTCCCAAATACTTCAAACTGTTAAAAGTATCCTTTGTGCGACTATATAGTGAATGCGAAGTGGAGTGTACGCTGAATTACAAGAAACACATGCTCCTAATGTAGACTATCTGAATGTAATTAAAATGATCCAAAGCATAGAGAAAGCTGTTTTAGAGGTAAACAAACTCTCTGACTCTAACAATCTTAACCCTTAACTTAATCATCATTGCTAACTCCCAGTCTTAACACTCTTAACCCCAACTTCTAACAATAACATTCCTAATAGTAACTCACGACTCCTACCTGGGCTCCTATTTTTTAATCCTAACAGATTTTTGTTTATTTACCATATTAAAGTTGTTTATCCCATTGAAATTTTATTACTGTTCGTCACAAATTGCTTCAAAACTAAACACTTTTCTGGTTGCGTAATAAACCGCTCAAGGTCGTAGTTATAACATCGTTTACTCAGAAATCTTTTACTTTTAAGATATAAGAAACAAAAATGTATTCACATTTTGTCAAGAAAATTTATTTTAATTATTCTACAGATAATCGTCTTACTGAATTACCATCAGATTTTGGGAAATTACAACATATTACTAAACTTTATTTGAAAAATAATCCTTTGTCATCTTTACCTAAACAATTGTGCTATTTGAAAGATTTGAAAGAATTAACTCTTTCCTGCGATCATATACAATATCCTACTTCAGGTGGGTGTAATCTCATGACATTTCAATGTTGTTCATTAAAGAGAAAATAGCTAATGTAATTCAGTGGTTGAATACAATTTTTGAATCAAACTGTTTGTTTGAACGGCTAGTTTGATACTATCTAGTTAGTCAGAGTATTGAAGTGATTGGAGCAAGAGGTTGTTGGTAATCTATTATGGACCAGTCACATAGTTTCATCTACACATACTGTGTAGTTATGCGCACTTATTTCTTATTTATGTTGGCGTGTGAACAAAATATTACACCATATTGTTGTATGAGTCCACTCACATATGGAAACAGCCGTGAAATAAGGATATTATCTGTTTGCTAATTTATTCTTTTGATTGGATACTGGATATTAGTTAGTCGGAGGACTGACAAGCATTAAGGTCTTGGTATTTATTCATTAATCATTCAGATATTGATAAAATAGGTCATCTGGCCTACATCCTTAAAGCGAACTAATCAATAATTTGACTAGACAATACTAATGTTTTAATAATAAGGTCCGACCATATGGGCTCCAGTACAACTTATGAACATGTTTTTTTTCTTTTTGAAGAGTAAAACGATCTGGAAAGATTCCGCATTGAGTAATTAACTGCTAGAGGTACTCGAGCAAACTATCGTTTTCAGTAAATTGATTATGTCTCTACATTTAGAAATCCATAATTCCTGTGCTACAATGATCGAAATGTTGCATATATAGACTAATAGACATTGTTACATGTCAAACTAGTGAACTTTTATATTGATTATGACCTATGTCATTTGAAAAGTCATTTAATAGGGAAGGTAGGAAAACTCCCTTCTTTTTTTTCCTCTTTTTCGTACTATTATTATTGCAGAGCATCAACCCAGCATCTAACGGTTTACACGTGACATGGTTGAACCTCACTATTAACGGCTTCTCGCTGAGACATCAGTAATCACCTCTCAAATTTAGTCACTAGTGAGCACATGATTATTATTACTATAAGGGGTTTGCGGCGATTTTTGAATTTTATAGTTTACATCACCGACTGATCTTGACCATTACAAACGAAGAAACCCTGGATAACTTGTTAGCCTTAGTATAAGACTTTTGACCAATGCACACGCATAACCCTAACCACTGAGGATCGAATCCAGATCCTTCAAGTCTCGCTAGGTGTGCTTAACCTTAGATCAACCTCTAAGTTGACATCCAATCCATGATATTGCACAGTTATTCTTTATTAGTATTGCTGAAATTTTATTATAATAATACAGAGGGCAAAGAGCTATGTATCTCCAATTGAATATATACTTTTTATGTTGATTATTCTTTTCTAGTTATATGTAAACTGGGACTGACAGCAATAATGGATTATTTATCTCAAGGTATATTTTCCTAAAAGTATTACTTCATTTTTCTTGTATTTTTCTCCATTCTTCTATTATTTCATATTTTCATACTTCATATTCATAAGTATATTTTTGTCTTATATAGTTCACAAATTCTCTTCATTATATAACTTTACAGATTGACTTGTGATTGTCATGTATTAAGAATTCAGTGTTATCATCCAATAGGAATTATTGAAATAATTCTATCGTCTCAAATTAATCCACTTACAGTATTGGAGTGATATTCAAATGTTTGCTAGAGACAGTATTTTACTCTTTAAATGACGCATTTAAAATATGACTACTAAGAGTGTTAGATATACTTAAGTTACAAATATTTCTTGATGGATATTTTCAAACTGCACTTCATGTGTGTAATGGAAGTAAGCTAAGCTGATGGGAAATTGTAGTGAATTTTAGTTACCTACTACACATTCGCATGCTCAGTCGGCTTGGAGTCGTACATTTTTTTCATGATGTTCGGTGAAACTAACTGAATTCTGAAGTTGTATGTTATAGTGTAGTTATAGAGTCATAAATTGAGTCTGTTAATATCGGTTACCTCTTAAATGGTTATGAATGAGAAAGGTGTCCCAATCATCGTATACTTTGATATGGTATGTTAGATAAAGTAAAAGGAGGTTAAAAGAGTAGCATATAATTGACTATGCTGAGCAAGAGAACTAATTCATATGGTCTTTGATCTTTGGTTTGAGTGGTACAGGAAATCAAAAACTATGAATTACATCTGCTTGGAAATCAAAGTGGAATGTCGGTCGTTCTAGGTAATGTGACTTGGGAGTACTAAATGTCGTCATTACTTACGGTTATTGTTACCTGAGTTTGCTTATTTGTTTAAGTATTTCTGCTTACATTTTACTACTGTAGGGGTCTTTACTGTTTTGCTTATGATCTACTGTTTTCTGATATAAATTTCGTGGTTGATAGAATTATTATGGAATTATGACGTAATGATTAGAGACAACACACTAAAAGGCAAGGCTTGGCGGTTCAATATAACTATTTGAGTTGTTGAGTTATCTACTGGAGACAATTATTATACCCTGTCTAAACTCTTTCGAATATTGTACTTTACTCAGTTTGAAGGGTTTGAGGAAGATGAGTTAGACAAAAAGTGTATTTCAAGGAAAAGTTGGAAAAATAAAAAGAAGTTGAAATACAAGTGTTTATCGAAAAATGACATGATCAGCTTGTTGTACGTTTTTGGATTCGTTCATAAGAGCTGAACACCGATTACCACGTCGTGCAATGCTAACGGGTGTTAGAGATGGTTGGAAGAAGGTTAGGGGCGGCCAAACCAAAACGTGGCATCAGTACTTGAAGACACTAACCTCTAGTCTGACCCATGTTGGTAGATGCAGACTACTTGGTTGGGGTCCCCGTGACTTTCGTAACCGATGGTTGGAGACTCTTGTTGACATGGCTCAGAATCGATCACAATGGCGTAGGTGTATACACTTCCTGTCTTCCCTTAAACTAAGAGATTAAGATTGCTTCATATCTTTCTTTCTACTAACTAATTCTTTCTTCCTGTACTGTATCCCTATATGCAATTTTTCTCCTATATATGACCACCTTTGACCTAACCACTCCTATGAATCCGGTGTTCATCTTGTTGTGCTAATGCGGTATGGCAACTTGGACTGATGCATATATGTGCCTGGTCCTACGTTGTAGCTGACTGACTGACTGACTGCTGATTCGCAAATAATGAACCCATCAGTATATTAGATTATGTTTGTACTGAGCACAGTAAACAAATTGTTAACAATCTGTCTTGTTAAAAGAGGTCTTATCTTTTATCGATGTAACTAAACTGATTCATATCAAATAGTTTAACTGTTCAAATTACTACCTAGACAAACTAAGAAGCTAGACCATAAAAACACATGGAATAAACTTACAGTATTTCATCCATCTTAATCTGTTTCATACAACTCCGCCTGAAGTCCTTCCGGGGGCTACTGCCCGTCCCAAGCCTGGATAAAGGAGGAGGGTTGGGCATGGGGTTAGCGTCCCCATCCCGTAGAAAACTAACTCGCTAAAAAAACGCTAACCAGAAAAAATTATTCAAACCTTTTAAACTCTGCCCTGGGAGTCAGAAGGTCTTCATTTAGAAGAATTATGACGCCTCATGATGAAAGCCGAATTCCTTCGGAAGTTACGAGGCCGATGCCCCTTCTGACAACCAGAGCGACCATTTATTTAGGTACATGGAATGTTCGTACAATGTGGGACACCGGGAGAGCCTTCCAAATTGCTGCAGAAATGAGAAGATACAACCTAGAGGTACTTGGGATCAGTGAAACACATTGGACACAAGTTGGACAACAACGACTAACTACAGGAGAGCTCCTGTTATACTCCGGCCATGAAGAAGAAAATGCACCACATACACAAGGAGTTGCATTGATGCTGTCCAAACAAGCGCAAAATGCACTTATAGGATGGGAATCTCATGGACCAAGGATCATCAAAGCCTCCTTCAAAACAAAGAAAGAGGGTATTTCAATGAACATCATCCAATGCTATGCGCCTACCAACGACTACAATGAAGACGCTAAAGATCAATTCTACAATAGGCTGCAGTCAATCGTCGAGAAGTGCCCAACAAAGGACCTGACCATTCTGATGGGAGATTTCAACGCCAAGGTTGGAACGGACAACACTGGATATGAAGACATCATGGGACGACACGGACTGGGAGAAAGGAACGAAAATGGTGAGAGATTTGCAAATCTATGTGCCTTCAATAAACTGGTCATAGGCGGCACCATATTCCCACATAAACGCATACACAAAACCACATGGACTTCACCGGATCACACACACAAAACCAAATCGACCATATTTGCATCAACAAAACGTTCAGGAGGACTATAGAGGACGTGAGAACCAAGAGAGGAGCTGATATAGCATCAGATCATCACTTGCTGGTCGCCAAGATGAAATTGAAACTCAAGAAGCACTGGACAACGGGGCGGACAATATCACAAAAGTTCAATACGGCCTTTCTTCAGGATACTAACAAACTCAACAAATTCAAGATAGTCCTCAGCAACAAGTTCCAGGCCTTTCATGATCTACTCAATGGAGAAGGAACTACTGTGGAGAGCAACTGGAAGGGGATCAAAGAGGCAATCACTTCAACATGTCATGAGGTCCTGGGTCACAAGAAGCACCATCACAAGGAATGGATCACTGTTGATACACTGGATAAGATTCAAGAAAGGAGGAACAAGAAGGCAGCAATCAATACCAGTCGAACAAGAGCAGAAAAAGCCAAGGCACAAGCTGAATACACAGAAGTAAACAAACAAGTGAAGAGGAGCATCAGAACCGACAAACGTAAATATGTGGAAGATTTAGCAACGACGGCGGAAAAGGCTGCAAGAGAAGGAAACATGAGACAACTGTATGACACGACAAAGAAACTCTCTGGAAATCGCCGCAAACCAGAACGACCAGTGAAAAGCAAGGAAGGCGAGGTAATCACCAACATTGAAGAGCAACAAAACAGGTGGGTAGAACACTTCAAAGAACTCTTGAATCGACCAGCTCCACTGAACCCACCCAACATCGAAGCAGCACCCACGGACCTCCCAATCAATGTTGGCCCACCAACAATTGAAGAAATCAGCATGGCCATCAGACAAATCAAGAGTGGCAAAGCAGCAGGACCGGACAACATTCCAGCAGAGGCACTAAAAGCAGACGTAGCGGCAACTGCAAGGATACTCCACATTCTCTTCAATAAGATTTGGGATGAGGAACAAGTACCAACAAACTGGAAAGAAGGACTTCTGATCAAAATACCGAAGAAAGGCGATCTCAGCAAGTGTGATAACTACAGGGGCATCACTCTTCTCTCAATACCGGGAAAAGTCTTCAACAGGGTATTGTTAAACAGGATGAAGGACTGCGTAGACGCCCAACTTCGTGACCAACAGGCAGGATTCCGTAAGGATAGATCGTGTACAGACCAAATCGCAACTCTACGGATCATTGTGGAACAATCAATTGAATGGAATTCATCACTCTACATCAACTTCATTGACTACGAAAAGGCATTTGATAGCGTGGACAGAACAACACTATGGAAACTTCTTCGACACTACGGCGTGCCTCAGAAGATAGTCAATATCATACAGAATTCATATGATGGATTACACTGCAAAATCGTGCATGGAGGACAGTTGACAAAGTCGTTCGAAGTGAAGACCGGTGTTAGGCAAGGTTGCTTACTCTCACCCTTTCTCTTTCTCCTGGTGATCGACTGGATCATGAAGACGTCAACGTCTGAAGGGAAGCACGGGATACAATGGACATCTAGGATGCAGTTGGACGATCTGGACTTCGCAGATGATCTGGCCCTTCTATCCCAAACGCAACAACAGATGCAGGAGAAGACGACAGTGTGGCAGCAGCCTCAGCAGCAGTAGGTCTCAATATACACAAAGGGAAAAGCAGGATTCTCCGATACAACACAGCATGCACCAATCCAATCACAATTGACGGAGAAGATTTGGAAGATGTAAAAACCTTTACATATTTGGGCAGCATCATTGATGAACAGGGTGGATCTGATGCAGATGTGAAGGCGCGGATCGGCAAAGCAAGAGCAGCATATTTACAACTGAGGAACATCTGGAACTCAAAGCAACTGTCAACCAACACCAAGGTCAGGATTTTCAATACAAATGTCAAGACAGTTCTACTGTATGGGGCAGAAACCTGGAGAACTACGAAAGCCATCATCCAGAAAATACAGGTGTTTATTAACAGTTGTCTACGCAAAATACTTCAGATCCGTTGGCCGGACACTATTAGCAACAACGTACTGTGGGAGAGAACAAACCAGATCCCAGCGGAGGAAGAAATCAGGAAGAAGCGCTGGAAGTGGATAGGACACACATTGAGGAAAGCACCCAACTGCGTCACAAGACAAGCCCTCACATGGAATCCTCAAGGCCAAAGGAAAAGAGGAAGACCAAAGAACACATTACGCCGGGAAATGGAAATAGACATGAGAAAAATGAACAAGAATTGGATGGAACTAGAAAAGAAGGCCCAGGACAAAGTGGGTTGAAGAATGCTGGTCGGCGGCCTATGCTCCATTAGGAGTAACAGGCGTAAGTAAGTAAGTAATCTGTTTCATATGCATCACTGATTACCATCAAGAGTGTATACAGTTGCTAATATTAAGATGGTGAAGAAGATATGTAGCTCAGGTGGATGATTTTGATGGAGTTTCGTTCTCTGAGCTGGATGGTTTGGTCATGGAGCTTTCATCTTTCTTCTGAACGACATTATCAGCACAAACTTCAGATAGAAGTTAAGCGTTCGAGTTTCTCCACATGTGGTTCACAACTTGTCCTGTACACCTCGATGTTGATTGGTTCTTGTTGACCTTAAACCTATCATTGTTTACTTCTTTGTTTTGGTTGTATCTTCCATTGGGTGATACAACAAGAACCAATCAACATCGAGGTGTATAGGACAAGTTGTGAACCACATGTGAAGAAATTCGAACACTTCACTTTCACCTGAAGTTTGTGCTGATGATGTCGTTCAGAAGAAAGATGAAAGCTTCATGACCAAACCATCCAGTTCAGAGAACAAAACTTCATGAAAAAATAACTAATATGTTTGTCAATCGTGAATGTATTAATTTCTTGGTCTAATTACGTCCTAGAGATATTTATTTTATTATAATTAAAATGATGAAAGAAAATTTTTCGTCTAATTATAAATTGTTTATATTATTGACCTTTTTCTATTTTCAGAAGAAGGAATGAAATGTTGTAATGTTGTTGTGAATCATGAAAATAAGAATAATACTTTTAATCAAATGAATGAACAAAATATGCAAATTTGTTCCAACAATGTAAGTCCCATAAACTTCAATTCAGTTGTTAGAACCAATTTTCTTTATGCTATTAACAGTGAATAATTTTTTTTTTTGATGTAACTACATACATCACTTGTTATTTTTTGGTAATCATTCAAAATAATTTCTATTTGGACTAGTTCACAATTAGTTAGTTGATCAGTGAATTTTTAAATATCGCAAATACAACAGTATGGGTTAGATATCTTCCAATACTGACGGCTCGTACAAAAGCGAATATCAAAAGGAAACTTAATGATGTAATGTTGAAGTAAACGTAATTCAAATTATATAACTTCTTTTAGACACTGTTCTAATTCAGTGCAAATTCAAATGTTGTGATATACCATACAAACAGTTTAGTATCCATCTATTTCTTTAATTTTCTATGACTATTTTAATATGTGCTATTACTGTAGGAAGTAATTTCCTACAGTTTCGAACAGTCAATTCATCAAAAATCCGTACATTGAGTACTCTTAAATGTCTACGGAGTATCATAAAACTGATCAGATTCCTGAATTGTTTCCTCACTATTCAGAAATTCATAGTGACAACCGATTTAAAAGAAATGGCTACCGAATAGATCCCCTGTTAGAGCTGGAATTAGATAAAGTACGTTTAGCTCAGATAGAAAGAGAAATTGAGTTAGAACGGTTACGTCAAAAGAGAAGTGAACATTATGATCATTTTGTGGCTGACAAGGGTATGTCGTATGAGTCTACATCTACCTCACGTACAGTTGATATTCGTCCTCGAAAGGGCTGAATAACAATGATATCTAAAGCTTTAGACCTGCTGAAGAGAGATATCATAAGATTTGATGATAATCCCATGAACTATTGGAGTTTCATAGGGAGTCGAACCTAAGAACAGTCTCGCATGCAAACACAACCTGTAGACCATTGAGCCGTCATCCAACGGTGTTAATATCTAACTTTACTCAACCCATGATATTGCACAAACCTTCGTTCATTGCCTGTGATAGATAACTTTCTCCGCCCGACACGGATTGGACTCCATTGGTTATGACTTCTCACTAGAACTCCAAGAAATTCAATTTTTCAATGGTGGTCTAGCTTAGCTTGATTTATAGTGTCGCTTGCTATGTTAAGTTCATATACCTTTACCTAGCTTCTGGACAGGCCAATTTATCCATTCTACTTGAGTCACGTTTTGACCTTGTTAGTTATTCGCTTATCAATCATGACTGTTTTTATATGAGCGTATGTGTGCACACGTCTTATTCTGTTCATCACATGTCTGTAACCATTTTTTATATGGCTATAAATATTGGTTAACGCTTGATTAAAGGGAGTTGGCTCACACACCTCCACTGTGTCATTTCGCTTTACTTCCTTTGCTTCGTTTCTTCGATCGTTTGTCTCGATCAACAATTGTACGAAATATAAGTATTCGAAATTCACTCTCGTATTTGACTTATTTGATTCCGTTACTCACCAACGCGAGTTAAGTCGATAATTATATACGAGGATTGGCGACATGTATATGTAAATAGCAATCAATCATCCGATCTAACTGGAGTCAGATCCTAAGCTACTAAAGATTCATGAATTCATCTATTGAAATTACTTCAATCTCCGCAATCGCCCATTCTGATAATAATAAGTTTCTATCAATTCATCTGTTTATTTTTAATTATCTCCAGACAGCAACACCATCATCATCATTAACTAATTATACTAAAAAACGAAACGAAGAAAATCTTCTAGCCTTAGAATTAGAACGTCAATCATTGGAAAGTCGTTGGACCGAACAAGAATTAAATGCTAAATTGAATCAAAATAAACAAATACTTGTACAATTAGCAGAAGTAAGTACTATTTATCGTTGATTAAGATAGTCTATCATATTCATATTTATATATTATAAAATAATCAAATTCTTACGTATGTGGTAATTAAATCCTAAACTTTGATTTCATAGAAGTTTACTGTTTTGATTATCTTTTACTGATACATCCAATAGCATATTGATTCTTTCATTATTTGAACTAATACTGATATAATGGAAGGAAAGAGCCAAGACAATCAGCATTCAATTGACAAGTTATAACAATTACAACAATATATCAGTCCATTTCTTGTCATACGCAAAAATCACAATGACAACTCAAAAAAAAAGAAAATACAAATATGTTGAGGTTAGAAACGATTACTCGAATTTGCACTGGTCTACGTCATCATATAAAATAATAGTTGGAAATGAGTTAGTCGAACGCATCGGCAACTTTAATTCTACTGAAAGTCTCATCAACCTCAGCTGGTTACTGTCTGACTGAAGCTCTTCACAAATTTAAGCGTCTCTCTTGGCTTACAATATAGGCAAGATGTTCATCTTCCTATTAAAGGCCGAGTATACTGTGTAACAGTTAACTATGTATTATTATATCGTTGGGAAACATGGCTTCTGAAAGTTGAAGGCAAGGGTGGGGCTCAGGATTTTAATCATGAGTATCTTTGACTCATTTGTCGCTTATGTGTTATGACTTTATGTCCGGCTTTTTATTACGTGATTTATCCACCAATCAAAATACGACTTATACAATCTCAGCACTGTGCCAAACCAATGACGTTCGAGCAGTATGAGCAGCCTAGCGTCCTTATTGGTCCTATGTCCGCCTAGCCTATCCACTTGGGTCCAGAACACAAATACCAGTTTCCACTATGTGAATCGAATAATTTATTTCAGACATGCTGGGTTTATATATCAATCAAACAGAACGCAACACACCATAAAATAGGAAATAACATTTGTACACAATAAAGCCAAAAAGTGGCTGTGAACGTGGGAGGCAGTAGTCAATAGACTGAACATAGCTTAAGAACAGTAAATCGTACAATAATAAATTATAGGTCGAAATAAAGCTTATAACAAGGGGAATATAGATATACATAATCTAGTTACCGAATATTTATACCATGAGAATATATAAATAATAATAGTCCATTAATAAGTCTCAGACGTTGCTAGTAATATAATCTTCACTAGGATATAATATATGTTGGGATCATCGGGTGAACAATGCTGAAGTTAGACGTAAAGTAATGGAGAGCGATGACATATCCGTTGATATGGTATGAATTGACTGGGTGGTTTGGACGTTTATTACGTATGTTTACTTACTGTCTTCCTCGACGCTCGACGTTTGCTGATATAGAAGCACTTTGGTAAAAAGCTAGAAGTGATCAAGTTAAGACTTAACTTCAGTCCATCAAATCACTGACTGTGTATGTAAGTCAATGTTTTTAGGTTCAAACTGCCTGGTTGTGGTCTTGGTATTTATCGTGACCAGTGGTTGGTAACGCTGGGTGATATGGCTTAAAATCTGTTACAATGATGCAGAAGCATTTTCCCTCTTCCCTTAGATCTTTAACTTCTAAACGTTTTTATACTTTCTATTCTTATTCATTGATTCTTATTGAATCATATTTTCTATGCGTAATTTTTTTAATATCACCGACACCGGTACAACCAAAATCTTAATAATTCGGCCCCATTGTGTTGACAACCTTGACCTGTGCATATATATGCCTGGTTTTACGTTATTTTCGACTAAATAACGGACTGCATCACTGATATTAGCTGCTAACTTAGTATTGCGATGACGTCACTCAGACAAATTACAATTCTTTATAAATCCCAGGTCAACAGTCGGGTACTTCATAGATCGCTTCTGCTTTTTCATTTGATAGATATATGTATTTAATAATAAGGTAATTTAGCGCCATATTTAGTTCAATAAATAAAAGTTTATACGTTAACTGCATGTTAAAAATATACTGGTGTACTTTTTTAAAATCTCTTATTGAAAGGAAGAAGCACGTGTTTGTGCTGAATTATCTGCTATACAAGATAAACGAAAACAACAACGTTCCGCATTAATTTCTAATGTTACACTAGCTGAACAGAATGCTGCTGATATAATCAAACAAATACTGACAATTAATAAATCAGCAAAGTTGATAGAGAAGATGGAAGATGTGTTCAATGCACATCAGTTTAGTTCTACTGATTATACAGCTTTGTCACAATCGAAACGAAAAGAAATCCTAGGTTCGTTTTTGTCTTTTTTCTTCTTTTCTATTTTAGCTCTCTTTCTGAATAGTTTTTGGTTAATGTGTGTGTGTATGTGATAAGTCTTCTAACTGAACTCTTCAATCACTTTCCTTATCTCTTCTAATAATCTCAACTAAATCTACACGACAACTTGAAGAAAAAATAAAAGGCGCAAAGTGTGGAAAAAACTTTTTACTCCAAGGTTAGCTTATGTACAGAAAATCAAGGGTATCCATGGTATTTCAAATGGTTTCGGACTTCTGGAAGGTTATGGGCCTATACTAAACATAGTAGTAAGATAGGTAACCATCCAATCAGAAGTGCGACACGTGACTCTTCACCTTCTAGATGTTTCTGAGACACTTCTATTCAACACAGATTGGATAAAATTTTTCCCAGAATTTTCAGGGTCCCTCTGGACTTTTTGGAGGGATACTTTATATCTCCTCAACAGTGTATATAAATAATGTCCACTTTGCTCCTATAATTTCTCAGTATTCCCTTTTGAGCTCTATTATAGCTTATTTATTATTGTACTGGAGGAGAGTGGATATTTTTTATTCGTTTGATAAATATTTATCTGGTTCGTTAGATTGTGAATATCATTTTTAGCTATCTGTTAGATGGATCAGTTCCTAGCGATATAACTTACATGGTCAGTGTGAAAATATTCCGAGTATTTTGATTGATTTGTTTTTTAGCCAATCGGTACTGGAATATGAGTTAAGAAGATGCTAGAATCCTCTTTAAATAATCCTCAGTACATTAAATTTCACTTTCTATCGAAATATACGTTCTTCATGTCATATTATTGCTCCTAGTCTCATCAAGTTCTGTGAAGCCCATTGATCAAAGAGTACTAGATAGAGACCAATAAAGCACCACTATCAAAGTACAATGAAAAGTCTTTTATAATTAAACTCAAAATTAACATTAAAGGAATTAGGTTGTGTCCATCACAGATTGATTTCAGTTAAACACTGTTATAAACCATGGAATATAATAAAATTATTATTCTGTACTCACCAGTGATTTGATTCGAAATTTATTCTTAAAGTTTAAATGGGAATATCATGACAAGTGAAGTTTATTTTAGTTCAGTTTAGTTGAACAGTTGTTACCGATGGTATTGAATGATCGTTGCACTATATCGCAGACCCATTGTAGTTGAAATTATAGCACCAGAAGCCAACTCAGTTATTCTAACGGTTAAAGCGTTGACTGACAAACCTATAGGTCCTGTGTTCGATCCCTAGCATTCTGCTGAGGAGTCTGATACTAGGATGAAACTGTTGTACAATGCTCCTTAGGTTTCCGTGGTACCCAAACTGGGATCAATTTATGACAAACTTGAAAAACCCTTTAACTATACTATTAAACAAAGTAGACCAAAAGAGATAGTCATAAACTTATTCTGATAAATTTCCAACTTGGGAACTATTGAAAATTTTAAGAAATGCACTGAACAATATATAATATAGTTATATATCATGACAAAAATTTCACTACATTTTAGCGCGTTATCATATTCCTTACCGTGATTTAACAGTCTCTGAGTATCATAGAATAATAAACACTAATTTTAAGTAGTAATAGTATATCACTGAAAACGACGCAGTAGAGTAATCCATTATCTTTTTAAACAGATAAAATGATCTTTAACTGTATGTTGTTGATATACATACAGGTTTATGTATGACAGCTTTTATCCACATTGTTTGTTGGATAGCTATTGATAATACATGGTTGGTCAAATCGTATTTGATCGGATGGAAAACAAACCTGAGATATTCCAATCGAAAGTGGAGTATTTTAACCACTTTAAGCCACCTATTTCAACATTTGTTATAGTACTTTGGTAAACAGCCATTTTTATTTTATTGCTTATCATCAAGTTATAGTCATGGGAACAACGTTAATGTAAGTTGCCTAAATGTAGTCAAAATTTCAGATCGGTCTAATTATTGATTGTATTGGTGAAAAAAGTAGTTGGTAATTTGGCTTATCATATTTAGATATCTTAGTTAATAGGTAATTTTTAGGTTCTGTTTGATAATCGTCATTATTGTTTGTATTTTTAATTAGTTAGATAGGAACTGAATAATAATTTGTTTTGATGGGGTTTCGTTCTCTGAGCTGGATGGTTTTGTTGTGGAGCTTTCATCGTTCTTCTGAACGACATCATCAGCACTAACTTCCGAAAGAAGTTTGTGCTGATGATGACGAAACCCCATCAAAATCATCCACCTGAGCTACAAATCCTCTCCACCATCTCAATAATTTGTTTGTTAACAAAATTTTATTTAAACAGCTTCAATGCAAGAAATGTTGTCAATTACAGACAATGCTTATGCAGTTCATACAATGAATTTGAATTCAACTAAACTTCACAGTCTTTCAAATAATAAAGATTCCACTAATGAATATGTTGAACAAGTTCTAGCGAATAAACGTGCTGATCATACAAAATTAACCTTTAATCTTATGCTAGAGGTAAGTGAAATGACATTTTAATTTTTTTTTATAAAGAAAGGAAGTCTTTGATACAGATTTTTGTTAAGTTTCTCATTCAATTATGATAGTTGATTTCCTCCAAAATACTAGTTTTTGAATGATTGATATAACAGGACAGTAATTAAGCCTAATAGTTAGACATTGATTCCATTGAAGATAGAATAACTACTGTTGTTTTCATATCCTTCAGTCGTTTATTTTTTTTTAAGTGACTTCTAAACACGATTGATCTTATATTCAATACTTTGTTTACAAGCCTGTTATTTTGTAAAAAGAAAGAAAACCTATTCTACTGGATAGGTTCCTTGTATTTTGATATCAGTTCAACTGAGAGCATTACATCAATAATTCGGATTCATGAACAGATATCTTTCAGTCACACTATTCCATTGCATTATGATCTATCGATTGAAATTCTTTCCTTTCGTTTGAATAATAATCTTTGATCTATAAAGAGATAGAGATTATTTATTCATTTAAATTACAGCAGAGAGAGAAGATTTATAATTTGTATTTAGTACTGGAAGCTTGTTAATCCTGTGTGTCTATAAACCGAATCTATTATAGAACAAAGATACTTTAGAGATGCTTAAAAATTCCTACTCCGAAGTTGTATAACTTATTTCAATAAATAAAGTGTATTATTTTATTGCTTGTAATATTTATGCTTACCTAACCACTACACTATCTACCCTAATTTATTATGTTGGTCAGAAGAGAATTAGTTTTGACAAAAAATGCTGGTAGTCTCTAGATCAAATATCAAACTATGAGCAATATTATGTCTCTGAAATCAGGTGATGTATATTTAATAATAATAATAATAATAATAATAATAATAATAATAATAACGAAGGGACGCCAAGCCCCACCCCTCCACATGTACATACTTTTTAGTTTTTGCCTCCTTGTGAACCAATTCGACCAGCTCCCATTGTAAAAGATTGAATTTCAAATCATTCATGCCGTAATAACTATGATTTATATTATATTTTAATTTTTTTCTTTGAAAATACTTCTCATAAAGGAAAGTGTTCAAAAAGAAGCTTTTGCTCAGTTACAACGTCAAAAAGATGGTCAAGTTGCAAGATTACAAAAAGAGATATGCTTAGTAGAAGAAGAACTTTGCCGGCTTACTTTAGCTGAACGGTCACGTGTTAATCAGCGTACTGAGGTTAATCAACGTGTTCTTGATGAGTGTAGATCTGAACTACTACAATTGTTAACTCAATTAATAGATGAGCAACAAGATCGTCAAAAGGAATTACGAAAACGTTTGGTAAGTCTTGTTATATTAATGTTATTCTGGAAATCTTAGTAATAAGTTTTGTTAAGTATTTGGTTGTCTAATCGAGATGCCCTTATTGCTTTATATTTTTTGACCACTTTACCTCTCTTGACTTAGTCCTCGAGATCAGAACACGGTTTGGACAGGTACGTCATTATACTCCAAATAAACCAGGTAAAGTGAGAATGAATCACAATGAGAAAAACGTCAGCATATTTGTAATTTTACATTTGAAGATTCTAAATTCTTATCCATTCAACGTGCCCTAACATAATTTGGTATGGGACATTCGATGACCCAATTTATGTCCTTTTGATCACATTTACGCAATCACAAATCAGTTCCTGATTTTAATAATATAAATAAGTCAATATGATTTATTGAGGAGACATGATGAGGTCTCAAATTATTTGAATGTTTCACACAATTTAGATTCACGTATAGTTAAAATATATTAAGCGGAGAATCCATCAGACCATTTTCTCTACTATACTCTAATATCTTATTTGTCGTTTTTGTTTTGTTTACATACCTATTAAAGATTGTCTGTTGTTATCGGTTGTCATGCTGTCATTTCTCTAACATAACTAATTTGTCTTTAATTTCTTCAGCAGAATACTGGTTTTCTTAATAAACGTAACTGAGTTTTTTAAAAGAGAGAAGCTTTTGAATCCAAAATAAATTCTACTATTGGAATTACACTGATGGAAGTGCTTTATTACACATATATTGGTTTTCTATAATGAAATGTACTTTCATATATATGTTAAACTGTTACGTAACTACTAGGTTATGCATTAGTACATTCGAAGAGAACATTACTGACTACTGTGAATGACAAACTTATCATCATATCTAAGGTAAAATACTAATTTGTCTGATGTGTGGGATCTCTTTTAATGTCTGCTTCTTATTTCCTTTACGAAACTTTTGCCGATGGTCGACAATCTTTTGTGTACTTTTACAGCATACCTGAGCATGACCATATTTATAACATCGGAAACAAACTCTTTTTTAAAATAGCGAACATTAGCCGAATGACGCTTCCCGCATCGCCAACAACACGTTTAGAGCGTTATAACATTTGTCTGACGTAAAGTTCATTTCACTCTATTCTATGATTCCCAATAAACTTTTGTTTTATGATCCACTTTAACTAACTGTCCATTGTAACTCCGTTAATTTGGTGACAGGTGATATGGTTGAACTAAAATTGTACGTTATCTTTACATATTCAAGGAAAATATTTACATACATATATTTTTCTAATTATATGATTTTGTCTTCTATAGAAACAAATTAAATTTTATTATATGGATACTAATTTGTAAAAATTCCAGACTTACAGCAGAGTATATGTGTATTTAAAGTTTTTCTTTTATCTGTAGATTCAGTTCAGTATTTCTGAAATGTTAGGTGGTTACAGGTAGTCGGCCAAAAACTCTTTATAACTTGGGTTTCGTGCTAGTTGACATATATCAACATGATATACCTGTATTCTTAAGGAAACTGATGTTTCTTATGGGATTCAAACCCGTATCATCCAACTCTACAGTCTGAGACGTTGTTACAGAGTTATTAGGAGCACGACTGAACTCCTTTAGGAATCAAACAAATATGATATCGTTCACTTCTCTCCCTCTGAATGCAAGCTGCTGCTTCAGGACTGGTCTGTCCACTTTCTCCATTTTTGTTTAACTTCATCATAGACCTATTGATGGAAATAACATACTCGTCGACTGAATTCTCGGGTATTGATCTCCTTCCAGGAGATCCACTTATCGACTTAGAATACGCAGATGATATAGTTCAGTTTGGTGAAGACGCTGATAAAACGCAGAGTCTTTTGGTAGCACTAAGCAACAATGCCAGAATGTTTGGAATGTGCTTCTCTCCCTCTAAATGCAAGCTGCTGCTTCAGGACTGGTCTACGTCAACACCTGAACTAAGGATAGGAAGTGAAGTAGTTGAACGCGTTGACAACTCCACTTATCTTGGGAGTCTGATCAGCCCTAATGGGTCGGTGTCTGACGAAATCTCAGCACGGATTCGAAAAGCTCGTTTGGCTTTAGCCAACTTACGTCACCTATGGCGAAGGCGAAATATCCGTCTATCAATAGAAGGACGAGTATACTGCGCGGCAGTCCGTTCTGTTTTAATTTACGGCTGCGAAACATGGCCATTAAGAGTAGAAGACACTCGTAAGCTACTAGTATTTGTCCACAGATACCTTAGAAATATTTCTGGCGTCTGCTGAGATCACCGGGTAAGTAATAGTGAGGTTAGACGCAGGGTATTAGGGAATAATGGCATATCTGTTGATGAGGATGTAAATCTTCACTGGCTAAGATGGTTGGGACACGTGTTACGTATGCCTGAACACCGATTATGATGCACAATGCTGACGAGTGTTGGAGATGGTTGGAAGAAAGTTAGTGGTGGCCAAACTAAAATTTGGCATCAGTGCTTGAAGTCACTAATTTCTAGTCTTAGCCATGTTGGTAGATGCAGACTACTTGGTTGGGGTCCGAGTGGCTATCGTAACCAATGGTTGGAGACTTGGTGACATGGCTCAGAATCGATCACAATAGCGTCGGTGTATACACTCTCTGTCTTCCCTTAAACTAAGAGATTAAGATCGCTTCATATCGTTCTTTCTACGAACTAATTCTTTCTTCCTATACTATATCCTTGTTGCAATCTTCCTCCTATATATTACCACCTCTGAATTAAGTACTTTTATGAATCCGGTGTTCATCTTGTTGTGTTAATGAGGTATGGCAACTTGGACCGATGCATATATGTGCCTGGTCCTACGTTGTAGCTGACTGACTGACTGATATCGCTCACTAAACTCAGTGATCGATCAATCATCGTATATCGATTATGCACATTTTTATTTAAATATATCTTTGTATTAAAGGAGGAAATCGAACAACAAAAGAAAGACGATCAATTGGACTTTTGGTTGGTTCAATATCAACGTGTATTAAATTCAAAACCTGTCAAATTACTTGATAAGGTCAGTTTCATAATAATAATAATAAACTAACTTACTGTTAAAGTATTCATAATAATGAAATTATTACTTCTAGTTTAATGTAACTTAAAATTGTACTATAGTAACCAGTCAATTTTATTTGCTCTTAATTCAGTATAACAATTATTCGAAAGTAAGAACTGTTAATTCACAACACTTGATCGAATTTAATTGTATAAATATAGGTCAGTTGTTTTATTCTATACCTGTATTCTTTGTATTGTAGGTTTACTTTATAACTTTTAATTATTGTTATACGACTTATTATTTCTTAGTTATTGTTTATTAGTTTTTTACTACTTGCTTCGTTTTGTACCACCTATATATGGTATGATTATCTGTAAAGTATGATTTCAGATTTGGGTTGAGTTGTGGTCTGATAATTCATGTACATCAGCTAAAGATGTTTGAGTTATATACTACCACCTCTGTATTTCATCTTGTTTTCTATTTTGAACCGAAGACCGAGTTAGAAGTAGCACATACACTTAAAAGTATCGATAGAAGTTGGGATTATTTTTGGCCTCAAACTCAAGATTTACTAATGTAATTAGTGTAGCCTTAAGAAGATAGCAATAACGGAAGGTAGTTTAATCAGAAGAAAATATTACCAGGATTCTGATTGGCAAATTACTTCTCGGGATATCGATTACCTTACATAATCTCTATTTGAAGACTTTGTAGAGGTGTTAATCATTCGCATCGATTCAATCGCATTCATACTTTCATTAAATTTTGAATTTTATTATAAATGTATACATTTGAACACCTCGACTTATCTTTCTCTTCCTGAACAGTAGTACTTCATATGTTTAGTTTCTTGCTATTATTATTATTATTCTTATCGGAATTCCTTTATTTTACGTCTATTTAGTTTCCTCCCACTTTATTTCTCTAAGTATATCAACCTGAGATGACTTACAAACATAGCGAATGCTGTGTTTGTTTAAGAAATTTTGCCGGAATCTATAGAAGGAATTTATAATCATTTGTTATTTGAATGATCTGAATAATTTTTTCTGGTTAGCTTTTTTTTAGCGAGTTAGTTTTCTACAGGATGGGGTCGCTAACCCCATGTCCAACCCTCCTCCTTTATCCGGGCTTGGGACCGGCAGTGGTCCCAAAGGGCTCTAGGCGAAATTGAATATTGTACGAAGTTTACTTACCAACTTTAAAATGTTTCAATAATTAGGCGTCATTAGTTTTAAATCTACATGGATAATAAACTAATGCCAACTGATCTTTATCCATACAACTAATCACAAATATTTAAAATATCGAAATAGTACTTTTGTTTAAAAATAAATTAAATCTATTGCATATCAATAGATCTACAGTTTCGTTCAGTAACCAATTCACACTCAAAAAATGTATGTTAATACGTAGATGATGGTATTGAAGATGAATGATATAGCATTTGGCAAAGGATAATTAATAGTAGAAATACTAGATTCAAACAGTTGAAAATGGTTAATTTAATCAATCTTGCGAGGTGGGATCGTGGATGTACATTGCTGAGGAGTCCCACAATGGGACGAAATAGTCTTTCAGTGCTTTTAGATTTTCAATTATCTCGTGATCTCAACTATTAAAATTCGTAAATTCTCTTCAGATATTTGAACATTCCTAATTCGATTGTTTTTGAATTGTTTCATATAGAAAACCTACAACTATAATTAAGATTTAACTAATAGATAAGTTGATTTACTGATCTGTTCTTCAACAATTAGAATAGTAGTAGTATAACCTCTTAGTTTCTGAGTAATCAATTCACGATTGATTGTAAAAATTTTATGAAGGTGCAAAAGTGCACATCACTGGTAGAATAATTGGTGAATTAAAAAAAATTGAAAAAATAATTATCTGTGAAAGTAAATGGATGTTTAGGAAATCAGTGACTCAGGGTGCTCTACACTTACCTCCTCTTTGCAGCCCCGAAATGCCCTGGTGCGGCCGAGAGTCGAGAGAGTTACCTCCCCCTCGCGGAATGCTCTCACATGGCCACATGCATACAACCACTGCCAGGGAAGTCTTACACACTACCTTCTCGAGGCGGCGGTTAAGGTTGTTTACGAAATTGAGAGGAAGAAAAGCGAATTCCGGCACTTTAACCGGGTTAGTGGTGGGTACGGAGGGTCTACCTAAGGAAGCTGGAAAACCCTGATTACAAACCAATGGTGTACATGGGCTCAAGTATCTTGAAGGAACAAATGGGTATGAACCAATCGATGATCACGGTTAGCATGGGACTACATCTCCTTACGTTGCTCCACTGCCCTGTCGACCAGACCTTTAGGTCAAAGGCTCTGGGTGTGGCCCCCTATGGAAACCATGTGCTTCGGTTTGGGCACCAGGACAGTATCACAGCCCTCACACAAGTCGAATGATTTATGTGGCGCATATGTATTTGGTGCCAACTTGTACCAATATTTATGTATTTAAATAAATGTCACTTTCTAACTTGATGTTATTTTATTATCTGGGTACTTTGTAATGATTATTTGACCTCTTAATTTTAAGATAAGGATATATTGTTTTAAATTTTGTAGCCAGACTCAGATGTTCAAATAATTCTTAGTAATGCACAATCTTTGGAATTTCTGCCTAATTTTCAACGACATGCTATTACCTATTCAATTATGCAATCTATGACAGATAGTGATCTTAAAGAAGTAAGTTTGCTTATCTGTTGTTTTTAGTTGTTTCATTCGGACAGTTCTTTCAAATAAATTAATTCGATTCGCACATCCGATAGAGTACTATCACTTTGAAGTTTCCATTCATTGGATTATTCTTATTCGTCGAAGGCTCATTATGTGCTTTCATATTGTTACTATTCAGAACTGCATAGTTTCAAGTTCTATAATATTTTCGAATGATGGTTATCAGTGGAATTCAAGACGTTCATATTGTCCTTGGGTCTTGTCAACTGGATATACTTGTATTTTAATGCTGATGTTTCTTCCGAGACTAACCCATTTTCTATCGCTTCTGTAGCGAAACGTTAGTGTTTTTTTAACTTTGTATACAATTCAACTAAATAGCCTTTAATATGGCAACCACCAACGGTACGGGATATCATCACATCAGCCTACTTGAATATCTAGACTACCTGTTCCTGCCATCTAGATATTTCAACAAGTTATTTACTCTTGTTTGTTTTAACACACTATTATGTCTATTAACCGCACTCAGGCGCGTTTATGAAAAGTTTACGACCTTTTGATGTACAAGTTACTAAAAAGTACAGAGACATTGTGGTAGCTTACAATATGCATTGAAAAGAATGGACATCATTCAGATGTCGATTCTTGAGCTGCTAACATCTAACTGGCAGTCACTCAATATTTATCGTCAGGATCGATCACGAAATAAGAAAAGGAAACCTGTTGAAATACTTTGTGCTGATAATTATATATTGTACCAAAAATATAATATTGAATAAAGCCAATAGTAGTAATAATATTCGGAAGTCAGAACGGAGTTTCTTAGGACAAATTTATGTTCACCTAAAACAATACAAGCAGCACATACTGGAGTGAGTAAATATATATAATTTAACGAGCAAATTTCGTGACCAAGGTTATTAAAATGACCCTCTCCACTGAGAATGAAGATACTTCGTGTTGTCTGTGTTCACAGAATAAACTAATTTCACTTAAAATCGAATACCTGAATACCGAATTCCGTATAATTTATCAACCATCGGCCTTCTGAGCGTTAATGGTATGATAGGTTTCAGTCGTTTTGTGGAATCGTCAATCAATGAAAACCATGAGGCACTAAAAAGTTGTCTCATCCTAGGATGGAATTCCTCAACATTGCTCACTTATGACCCTATCTGGGATAAAATCCCGAGACTTCGGTATAAGAAGCCGCTTAACCTTCAGTTCACTTAGTTGGCGTCCTGTCTCTTGCATTTCTAATTCAAGGGAGTTGTTGTAGATTTGGAATATTTCGTTTCGTAATGATATTTTGGTACTTTACTCGTCTTTTTGAAGTTGTTGGAGACTTTGGGGGTCTATGAAACTGATATTGGATCACAAAGCGCAGATGCATCAACTCATTGTTTTCCCGTATTTCTTGAACTAGATATTAATTCATACTTTCTGTTGTTCGAATTAAATATCTTTTCAACTTTATTCTTTTATTTTTAGTCCTCACTACTATTTATACTATTGTTCGGAACTTTTTCCTATCACATTTAATTTCATCTTGTCGTGGCGTAACAACTCATGCTGACATGCATTCGTGTCTCTTTATTGATTGTGCCTGATTGACTTTTGCTATTCACATTTATCAGTGTTAATAATATCCTTTTTTTCTCTAGCTGGAATATCGTGTGGGGTGTTTTGTTTTCAATTTCTAACTAACCCTTTTTGATACGACCGAATCTGTTAAATTGGTGGTTAACTTGCTTCTTTGGAGATTTTTTTGTCTGTTATCCTGTACAGTATAGTGTGATGCTTTAATTTCGCTGATTTGTAATTTAATTTTAAATCCTAATTTACAACTATCTAAGTTACTCTTCTATCTCTCACAGTTAATGAATTAGTGCAAGTATGTACATTTTGAGAACTAGCTAAAAGTAGAAAGAATCACTGTACACTTGACACACGATGTTGTGCAGTCTATATATTCACCGTATATTGATTGATTGTAAGTTATAACTGTTTTTAAAGGTAGCCGTTTCAATTGATAATCATGCCTTCGGCTTTTTTTTGTTTTAAAAAAACTACGTATAATAAAACATAGATTGGTATTAACACTCTTGGAGCACGTCGTGAGATTTTGAAGCAGATCGGTTTGTACAAAATGAAAACAAATGATGAAGACAAGGTATTTCTAACACATTTTTCTCGCTTTTAAACTTATCATGTAGATCAGTGGTATTTTTAAAATTGAAATTAGCTAATTTAAAAGGTAATATTACAGGTTCGAATCTTGCGAGAAATACCTTGATGTAGGTGGTAGCTTGGTAGTATTATGAGCCGTGATGCTATCCACCCAAATTTGTTGAGCGCAACATGAAACCTAAACTAAAATCTGCGAGACCTCATACAGTTCCTAATTCTCTTCATGAACATTTAGTGCAACTGCGATACTGCTGTGGAAGCTTTGAGAAATTGTCTAATGAAATCCTTGAGAAATATTTCTCATACCTCCAATCTTCCCATAATCCTTCTCAGCCCACCTATTATCCATAGATGTGTTAAGGAAAAACTTTTGTATTGGGCCATATCAATGTGTATTTATACGTCCACCTGTTCTTGTGAAGTAGGTGGTTACATAGGCCGTACAAACGGAGCACTTTCCAAACGTATCTCCAAATATTGTCATCCATGGCTTTCGGAAAGTGAACGTAATTCAATCAACAGTTCAATACTAGAATATATTATGAACTCAGGTTATTTGAGGTCACCTGATAAATCCTTTAAAATGATTTTTCTAACTCTTGAAGTACGACTATTGAACTTACTACATGTAGTAATTTAAATTGATAATGTATTTCATACACAATGATTGATCATCATCCTTCTAATCAACTAATTATAGAAGCAGCCAATTTTAAAATTAGCATCCATAATAAATTTACTTTACAAACGACATATTCGGACACATCTTTTTATTCATTTGTAAAATTGTGTAGTATATTCTTAGTAGTAATAAGATGTAAGAAGTTTGATAGGTATAAAAATAAACAAACTGAGCATAGGATAACCTTGAAAATTCATAATCAACAGTTGATTGAATCAAATATGAAACAACAAAAGCATGCAATATAGAGAATCATTGGTTAGGACAGCAACTAACATTATCAGCATTTTTGCTACAGTTTATTCGAACTTATAGAAAACCAAAGTCTTCGTGATAATCTGTTACATATTTTTGATTTATTCTTTTTTCTACAATAGACGTTAAATACGATAGAATCACTTCCAACACCGTATGTAACACCATCAGCTCCGGAGGCTACATTATCGAGTATTGTTGTATCTGACGAAGTTGTGGCTCGTATGGAAAATGAGTGTTGTATATGTCAGGACGCAATAGTGAGTGAAACATTGTATTACACATTTTATTCCCGACCGAAGCTGCTACCTTGACGCGGTGGTCGGGCTTGCCTATCGTGATGACCCAACCGAGCTATATTGGCTGGAACATATGTTCCTGTAGGTTCTACCATGCCAGGCAGGTCGATTGGGAACGGTAAGACTAAAAGCAGCAACTCAAGGTCTGAGGGCGAAGTCGTACTGCTGACTGTAGAGGGTGTGACAGCAGTAAGGTGTTTCCCTCGGACAACCAGCATGACAGCGATGCTGCCTTCCCACAAGGAGGGGTGGGGTTAGAAAAGGTCGACCCTAAAAATGTCACACCTCACCTTACCTCACGGATTTCCGTCTCCGGCGGTAAGGCCCTTTGAAGAACGGAGCTAACACGTCAAAAACCTTCCACAAAAAGGCCGTGCGCGACCGGCCTCAAGCAGTTGTCCCTTGGGCTCTGCGGTCACGCTCCCAGGTCGTCAAGACCAACACTAATCCAATTTCCTTTTCAGGTTCCTCAAGAAATACCCTTCCACGGTGTGGGCAGCCGGGAAGTGACATCAGCCCTCATACCCGTAACAGCACAAGAGACCAAGGTGGTCACATTCAAATCCTTCCTACACCTCCTAATACCTCTCTTATCTCCATGACTAACCCTCCTCACGTCTCTTTATCACCTCGCACCGCTAGGGCAAACGATTCGAGTACGTGGAACGCCATTCCTGGTCTCCTGAAACCACGCTCTAAACTACACGTAGGAGCTTTTAACGTACGAACACTTTGCCAAATAGGACAGCAGGCTTCCTTAGCTAAAACTTTAGAATCTCGCGCCATCGATGTGTGCTGCGTCTCCGAAACGCGCATACAGGATCCGAGTAGCGTCATTCATTTGACCTCACCATGCCAAAATAAAGAACCGACTCGATTTACGCTTCGTGTATCTGGAAGCCCTGATTCTGCTTCCCGTGGCCTCGCCGGCGTAGGTATAGCATTGAGTCCTAGGGCAGAACTAGCTCTCTTAGAGTGGATCCCAGTAGACAGTCGTTTGTGCGCTGTCCGACTGAACGGAACAGTAAGAATCCGGAAAGATAGGGACACTCGTCGTTGCCTCTTCGTCGTCTCTGCCTATTCTCCCACTGACTGCAGCTCAGATGATGTAAAAGATGAGTTTTACAGAAAGCTTTCGGACCTTCTCCGAAAAGCTAGGCGCTCGGATGTAGTAATAGTGGCCGGTGACTTTAATGCTCAAGTAGGTAAACTAAGCGATAGGGAAAGACACCTAGGTGGATCTTATGGTGTCGTGGCTCAAAGAACAGATAATGGCGACCGTCTGTTGCAGCTATGCTCAGATAACCGCCTGTTCCTTGCAAATACTAACTTTAAGCATAAGGAAAAACATCTTTTAACATGGCGACCCCCTAATTCGTCCCAACGTTGGACCCAAATAGATCACATCGCTATCAGCCACCGATGGAGGGGCTCGATAGAAGACTGTCGCTCATTCTGGAGCACATGCCTAGATTCAGATCATGCTCTAGTGCGAGCGCGTATTTGCTTGCGTCTTACTGGACGTAGGAAAGACGCTGCAAGGAAACCTCTTAGGGCCTACTTAATGATAGTCAAGCTAAGAGTATATTTCAGGAACAACTAGGAAAACAGTTAGGCAGCCATGTATGTGATGCCCACCCCGATGCAGCATGGAATGATATCCGAAAAGCTGTGGAAACAGCAGTGATATCTGCTAGTAAGGTAAACCAGAAGGTTAGGGAGCAACACTGGATCTCAGCAGCATCTATCGCACTGATAGATGCTCGGAAACTCATTCCACCTGGCTCTGAACATAATGAAGAGCGGAGTCAGCTTAAGCGCAAGCTGACAAGAAGTCTACGCAATGATCGCGAACAGTGGTGGGTAGCGAAAGCAAGAGAGATGGAAAAGGCAGCGGCAATAGGTAATAGCAGACAATTGTTCAGACTCGTTAAGGAAACCGGAATTAGGAACCCGACCGTTAGCGAAACAATCTCAGAGAAAGATGGACATATTATTCATTCTCAATCCAGGAGATTGGATCGATGGGCAGAACACTTTAGGGATCAGTTCAACTGGCCTTCAGCCACACTTCGGTTTCCCACGATCTCCAGTCAACCTGAATGGCAAGTTAATGTAGGTCCTCCGTCCCTTTACGAAGTTGAAAAAGCCATAGGAAATCTGAAACGAGGGAGAGCAGCAGGCCCTGACAGGTTTACTCCTGAGATTTTTAAGGATGGTGGTCCAGTATTAGCAATGAGATTAACTGAGGTCTTAGGTAGAATTTGGGAACTGGACGTAATCCCATCTGACTGGTCTCAATCACTGATTGTGCCAGTTTATAAGAAAGGACAAAAGTCCTCTTGTGACAATCACAGAGGAATCAGTTTGACTAATATAGTGTCTAAAATATTAGCTTCAATAATACTTCGACGCCTAACAAAGCTCGTGAAGAGCAGACTAGAGAAAACCAGGCTGGTTTTCGACCTGGACGTGGTTGTATAGATCAGATATTCACACTACGTCAGGTTCTAGAACACAGACACACATTCAGACGCCCCACAATGGTAGTATTTCTCGACCTTAAGGCGGCATTCGACTCTGTTGATCGTGAGGTTCTATGGCAGTGTTTGTCACTGAAAGGAGTACCAAAGAAGTACATTAACCTTATAAAGGCTCTCTACTCGAACACAACTGGTCGAGTGAGAGCTTATGGCGAACTGTCATCAGAATTGATTACCTCAAGTGGTGTTCGTCAGGGCTGTCCACTCTCCCCATTCTTGTTCAACTTTGTGGTCGACGTACTTTTAGAGATAACACTCTCCTCATCTAAATTTCCAGGGGTTGAACTTCTACCGGGAGGTTCACTTGTTGACTTAGAATATGCTGATGACATAGTTTTATTTGGTGAAGACGCTGACAAAATGCAGAGTCTTCTGACCACTCTAAGCAACAATGCAAGCATGTTCGGGATGCGATTCTCTCCCTCGAAATGCAAAATGTTGCTTCAGGATTGGGTTACATCGACACCCGAACTAGTGATAGGGAGTGAAGTAGTTGAGTGTGTCGACCGCTTCACTTATCTTGGAAGTCTCATCAGCCCTTGTGGTTGGTGTGTGACGAAATCTCAGCACGGATACAGAAGGCTCGACTAGCTTTTGCCAACTTGCGTCATTTATGGCGTAGGCGAGATATCCGTCTATCAACCAAAGGACGTGTTTACTGCGCAGCAGTTCGTTCCGTCCTACTTTATGGCAGTGAAACATGGCCGGTAAGAGTAGAGGATATCCGTAGGTTACTAGTATTTGATCATAGGTGTCTTCGAAACATTGCTCGTATATCATGGGACCATCGAGTAAGTAACACAGTTGTTAGGAAACGGGTACTAGGTAAGGATGGCAAATCAATTGATGAAGTAGTGAAACTTCATCAGTTGAGATGGCTGGGACACGTGTTACGTATGCCCAACGACCGACTGCCTCGACGTGCTATGTTCAGTGGTATAGGAGTAGGTTGGAAGAAAGCTAGGGGCGGCCAAACCAAAACATGGCACAAGTCCATGAAGTCACTGACAAGTGGACTGAGTCATGTTGGTAGGTGTAGACTACCTGGTTGGGGACCGCGAGATGATAGCAACCGATGGTTAGAGACCCTGAATGACATGGCTCAAAATCGTTTGCAATGGCGCAGGTGCATCCACTCTCTGTGTTCTCCCAAATTCTAATCTTCTGAATTCTTCATGTCCCTTTTTTCCTCTTTCCAAATTTATTTCACTGGATTATACTCTTTAAATAACATCTCCAAACCCTAATCTTCCCGATTACTGCTTATACTCTTACTACCTCTACCACTACGGGATTTGAATCGACAACTGCATCTCTGTGCTAATGTGGTGTGGCAACTCGAACTGATGTACGTACGTACGAAGTTCTACGTTGTTACTGACTGACTGACTTTACACATTTTATTAATGTTTCTGAGTACATTTTTAATACTAACAAAATTTCGACTAACAAATCCTTCAACTGACTGCGTTGATCATCAAAAAGTATGGGGCCACAATGCGATGTTGTTCTATGTTTAAAGATTTAGGTCAATGATTGCTCGATCAAATCTGATGCCTTTTTGATTTCCCGTTTTTGAGCTTTAATTAAGCGTTAGATAATTATCAGGCCAATTCTGACAGATATATATATAAAGAAATAGCCATATAGGGTAATGTTGTATTTGGAGAAGTAATAAAAATTGTTTACCAAATTTTTAGTGAAACGGTATATATTCATTCACACAATAAAGCGAATTCAGTGAGACTATAATTTATGGACGAGATTTGGACGAAGACAAAGTGGCCTTGAGAAAGTTTACCTTCTAGGGTTATAAATCAGTTTGCGGAACTAGAATTAAAACTTGCAGTTGGATGTCATGGTTTTCATCACGAACTGACATCAGCTATAATGCAAAAATGTTATTTGGCCACATGGATCAATGATTTTCGCGCTAAAACCCAAGACTTGTTGAATTAAATCTCATTGGTTCGTCCATAAATTATGGTCTCGCCGCAAATTCTTATGCGCTCAGTAATTAGTCATAGAAACAAAGGTTCAATTCTAGTGGTCGCTTCCTCAATTTAAAAAACACTTAAAGCTAAATTTCATAACACTGGTATATGAAATAACTGTAACTTCAATGTATACGATTTTAAAAAAGTACTGAATAGAACCCGATATTTTAAGTATAGATCTCTACAGGTCTCTAGCAAATGACTTTACGGTCAGAAATTTCTAAGTGTGTGTCTGTCGCAGTGGCGAGGATGCATTTGCTTTATCTTCTCCTGAATCTTGAGTTCCGGCATCTCTCTTCATGTGTACCCTAGCAGTCTTTCCAAACCATAATCTCCAATGCATAGTTTTTCTCATTATTACAGTGCTGCTGCAATCATTCTAACTCTGTGGCCATTCATTCTGTTAATTTCATCTTGTGCTAATTTAGTGTGCTATTTTGGTCTAACGCAGATTTGTGTCATGCTGTATGTAGCTTAAGACTGATGTTCTACCGTTTTTAACTCTTAAATTTTCATTAACTCTCATACTTTTTGTTTATTCCAAGTACAGTGCTCAACGATATTCCTTCCATGTGGTCATGTCTGTTGTTGCAAGAAATGTTCTGAAAATGTTCTTGATTGTCCATTGTGTCGTTCCAACATACACAATCGAATTCAATTACATTTTTGATTATGGTAAAACTAGGTAAAGGAATTTTTCTGCTATCAATCAATTTTTGCTGCCATATATATAGGACGCAGCAGAGTCCAGAAACCTTAACTTCTCTTAACATTTTAGAACTTTCAGTGATTTGCTAATCATATAAACTTACATTACATAATTATGCACAGGATTTTTAAAACTGGATGTACTATTTATTATTTGTTATTAACATGCATCTATCCACAGTATAACTTCCAAAATGCATTTTATAAAATACTGGGGGAATCAGGATTTGTGGTAGGCATCAAGGAGATCAGATTTTGGCTTTAAAACCGCTTTGTCAGGAATACTGACAAGCCAACCAGGCTCCAGTCCATGAAATATTTGTCGAGGATCTTTCCGCATAGACATCAGCTTTTGAGTGGATCCGAGGATGAACTAAAATCGATTGGGTGATAACCATACTTTTGAGCCAGCCAAATTCGAGATTTCGCCACTTCCTCAGGGTCCGCCAGATAACCTCGAGACTCAGCGTTTGCGTAGAATGGAATCAACGCCTATAAGAAGCAAAATACATTTAAAATCAAAGAATAATGATCAAATACCGAACGATGGTAACATGGTGTAACCAGATTCTGATATTTTTCTACTGCGTTATTATCTGACTCATAATAATAAGATAATAACAAACTGAAAATCCCTAAATGGCAACACTTTTTTAAAGTGATATGCCCGAAATGAGATTTAACTGTAGATTCAATATGAAGAATTCAAAATGAGTATGTTCACCCATTAAACACACAGTACATTAATATTTAGCTACATTAAAGTTGATACTCCTAGCTATATTTGTCCAGTGACCAGTAATAGATTAATGATGAACCTTGAGACGGGGCATTTTAAAATGGAAATTGATTTTTGAGGTAATGAAGGAATACTCTGGACTTATTTAACCAGGTATGAATTCAGGATTTATGACAAGATAAAAATTTATAATGTCTAAGAGAAACCAACGAGAATGTGTCTACGAATAAACTCGTGAGATTTTACCGCACCGTAAAACTTAATTAAATTTTTACTAAAGAGGAGTAGGCAGAAAACAATATATTACTACCATATTCGCAGATGATAAATTCATCAGTATCAGATGAATAGAAATAAATTGTAGTGTATGGTAATAAAGTCTGCGTTGCAACACATACTGTGACATTGGGTGGCGCGGGCTCGAACCATACGGAGAGCATCGGCGTCCTCAAGATTGAGGACCCAACTCTTTAATGAGTTTCTGCTAGCACAACACAGACATTTAAGGCTAGATGTTGATTTTCTTCAACTGCCTAACATTAGGTTTATGATCTCCATTTTCTACTGTTTCACAAACCACAACATTACACTTAAACTTGAGTTATTATCAATTTCCGGTTTTAATTCGGTATATATATATATATATATATATATATATATATATATATATATATATCAGCGGTTGGATATTAGTAATAGCTACGAATTCTTGATTTTCAAAGAAAGTATGAATGATAGACTTGGAAAACCGCAAAAATCTCCTTTGGTTCAGGTTATGTTACTCTGCAACTAAGAAATATGAGTAGGGAGAGATTAATGGAAGAAAAATATTATACTCAAAATGTAGGTAAAAGGCAAATGGTGCATTTGTGGTACTATGGTCGAATTCGAACTGTTATTGATCACTGGTTCTTAAAATCCTGAAGATCCCACCCAGAAAGTTAACTAGAATCAGATTAATAATCGTGTTACATCACGGAACACCGTCTAGATTCGTACTTTAGCCATCCTACCTATCCGTTCAAATATGAGCCACAACTTTTTGCCCTTTTCAAACCTTTAACATCTTTCGATAGAACCAACACTAGAAGGCAGATTTTGTGTCATTTACTTTTAGCTGCATTGTCTGCAAACCTCTTGAGAAATAAAGGATGTTGGAATTAAGTTGTCAGTTGATATTTTCTTGCGATAGAGTGGTAGTAGTGCATCATTAAATGTGGAAGACTTTTGTTTTTTCACTAGAAACTCTAATTCAAAAAGTCCATTCTCGGAATTATCGTCGAAATATGAGATACATATTGTTCGGGCAGGGAATTCAAACCAACTATTACCGAGTGAAACCATAGTATACGGAAAACCTTTTAGAGATGTTAGGATGAACTTGAGGAAATTCACTTACTGGAGTTGAAAGGGTTATAAATAAAAGTGAGAAATTAGGATTAGAGTTTAGAGTTGCAAATAAGGGTTTTGGTTATTAACCGATATCAGCTATAATGCTAAAATGCTATTTAGCCACATGGATGAATGATTTTCGCGCTAAAATCTAAGACTTTCTAAATAAAATCTCATTGGTTCGTCCATAAATTATAGATTCACCAGTTTTGTTTCGGCAGCGGAGTAAGTATTATTAGGTTTCATACAAAAATTGTAAATCAAAACCGTGTATATAAACTTGCACTTGGTAAATGAACTATATTTTTTATTTCAAGCCATTTCATACACATAGTTCCCTCTATTATCTTAAAGAGAGCAAGAACGAAGATTGATGCAAAATAATATGAATTCATTTTATTACGTTAGGTTTTCATCAGCTGCTTACAGCTTATACATACAAAGTTGATTAAGGGTGAAGATGTGTATCATGATGTAACGAAGATTTCAATAGAGTTAACTATATTGTCCTTGCTGTCTTCAAGATATTTGTTTACAAAAGAAAGTGTCTATTAAGTGCCGACAAAAGCAAAGAACACACAAGTGTCTGTCGGCAAATCCTATGGGATCCATTTCATAACTGAAATGTAAGTTACATACAGTTTACGTTAAATACATTGATTCGACTTCGAACTATGCAGTCAGTAAGTACATAAATACTAGGAAGAACTGTCTTATAGAGCTACGTTTACATAAAAAAGGGACCGATGATGGCCACATATGGTAATCTATGTTTAGTTGAAAGTGTTTGTGGATGTGGGCACATTGGATGTTGATAGAATAATTGACCTCTCTTATCGGTCTGTGCAGTGACCGGACGAAACATCTTATTCTGATGGGAAGCTTTCAGTATTATGAAAACAAGTTGAAAGGTGCACTTGGGAACCTTCCAAAAAACACTGATACTCACCATCACTTCAATTGGTACAACCAAAATTGTTTGTTTCTTCGGAAGAATTTCCAAGGGGTTAGTACAGTAAAAATCCGACTTTTAGTGCGCATTTTGCGACTAAATACGCTTTAAAAAAATATAAAGCATGTTGAACGAAGACCTGTCGTTATGGATTAATACGCCATCATTTTATGAAACCCGTACAACACTTAGGTAAATAATTTACCATTAACTAAGGATAAGTTTCAATTAAAAAGAAAATTCGATAAGAAACGAAGTCAACATGTATAGAAAGAGAAAGGATAAGAATCTGCAAAGTACTAGTTGAAAGAGCGTCCTTGATTAGCGCACAAAAGTTAAAAAGTATAACAAAATGTAACTAACTATAGTATTTTACCGACGCATGGCGTAAAGGTTCATCTGCACGTTCAAGATAATTAATGCTGTTTTTAATATATAAAACACATACTAGCTACATGAAACAGGAAATCGTTTTGTGACTTACATTAGGAGGCAATTTAGCTTTTGGGATCGGAATGCCTTTCATGAAGAATCCTTGAGGGTCAGATTTTACCCAAACGGAATACAGATCATAATAACGGTTACAGATTATTCCCCCTACTCTTTCCACAGCTGCAATTACTTCTTCGCTAGCATACTGAACTTCAATATTAACAGGAGTAACAAAGTTATCGATACCCTACAATTGTTTAAACAGTTTATTACACAACCTTACTTCGTCAGTTAGATGGAAACCATATTGTCGATCATGATCCACATTTAACCGGTAAAGATTGGTGTTGCATAGTGTGGAAATGTCAATAGGCTCTAGTGGATTTATTCGATTAAGGTCTATCAGTCTTTGAAGCTCTAGAAGCGAAATACGGTGAAGATTGTTTTCAGACCTTGGTTTGTAAGAAGAACTATGCATTTACTTACATGCTGTTAATGTTGTAAGGTTCTTTAGGAACAGAAAGATAAAATGGTGTCTTTGCACCCAAAATTCCCAAGGGTGGGAATGCTTGAAACTGGGAAGCACCACGATGACCAAGACCTCTTCGCATTCGTTTCAAACCGTGATACTTCTACTACCAATGAAGATATATATATCAATTTTCTTACGGGTGGTTTGCTTCCTGGAAGATCAGATATATTCTGAGGAGAAACTCGAGGATATTTTCTTAACAAGGCCAAAGCTCTATCTATTGTTGGCATCTTTCTTTGTAATCACGACGGTGATAATCCAAACAAACAATTGATAATGGGTTATTTTCTTCTTATTAGACAGTCAATTACCAATACTTTCCTAAAAGACCTAAGATGGAAATATACTTTTAAGAATTACAAGCATAAAATTAATTAGCAAAGCACTTACTGAAAACGATTTAGGATAATGAACTGAAACCAAAAAATTTATCGCATAACGAGAGCTTCAACTGAAAGTGCTTTAGACTACATGTGTTATTAAAAGTAACTAGCACAGCCTACAAATCATTTTTCAGAGACGTACGTTGACAGTCGCCCTCACTTAGCTTGGCAAATTGGCTAACTGTTTGTTCTTTGAGACCTGCGTCTAGGTATTAAAAGAACATTTTGATAGCGGGAATACATGGTTCTTGTTATATTCCTACTAGAAACTGAAGGACAAAACAACTGAGTTGAAAGTAGGAATGGTCGAAAAGTAACATCCAAAGTAGTCCCTTTTATTATCTGCAGAACTAAAATCATCTTTGAGCCTTCTTTTGAAAGACTCAGCAGAGGGCTTCACCACTATAACTTCCTGTAGGGAATCCCACAACTCAGTATTTTGAACTGTGAGTCTCCACGGACTTCTGTGCGAGCTCTTTAACACTCAGTCATAAGTGTATATCCTAAGTGCGATTCATTACTAAGATGAACAAGTGGCCCGTTAGGGTGAAGAGGACTAAAAATGTGGCATCAGTTCATAAAGTCACTAACTTGGGGTCTGAACCGTGTTGGTAGATTCAGATTACTTGGTTGGGGTTCGCGCGACTATCGCAACCATTGGTTGGAGACACAGTTGCGTAGGTGTATACACTCTTTGTCTTCCCTCAAACTATGAAATTAAAATCGCTTCATATCTTTCTTTCTACGAACTAATTCTTTCCCCCTGTATTATATACATATATGCAATCTTTCTTCAATATATTACTGTCACCGAAGTAACTACTAATTTGGTGTTGATCTTGTTGTGCTAATGAGGTATGGCGACTTGAACCGATGCATATATGTGCATGGTTCTAAGTTTTAGCTGACTGACTGGTACCGTAGTCTTGAATGTGTAGTAATAGCTTCTTTCTAAGTAAACTAAAATCATGGTCAAACAGGTGTAGAAGCCTAATAGTTATTTATTTGTTTTAACACATAAATATAGCTTGATAGTATGCGATTTCGATGCACCCTCTAAGAACTGGAAAGCCTTGGAAGTGGCTCACCAAAAAAACCATTTGATTACAATTTCTTAGAAACCACAATCGCTCTATCTTTATCCCAGGACATTGGAGATCTCACCACATATGGACTACTATAGTCTCATGTACCGGACTTCGTCATCACTCACGATGACGATCAGACAAAAATGACCGTTCACTTATGAAGAGAAGTAAACATGGGGCCACGTAACTCAAGTTCATTGTTGTCGAAGTTTGCCGACCAGATGCCCAAGTCAGTAAGTCAGCAACAACGTAGAACTTCGTACGTACGTACATCAGTTCGAGTTGACACACCACATTAGCACACAGATACAATTGTCGATTCAAATCCCGTAGTGGTAGAAGTAGTAAAATTATAAGCAGTAATCGGAAAGATTAGGGTTTGGAGATGTTATTTAAAGAGTATAATACAGTGAAATAAATTTGGAAAGACGAAAGAGCGAGACATGAAAAATTCAGAAGATTAGAATTTGGGAGAACACAAAGAGTGGATGCACCTGCGCCATTGCAAACGATTTTGACCCATGTCATTCAGGGTCTCTAACCATCGGTTGCTATCATCTCGTGGTCCCCAACCAGGTAGTCTACACCTATCAACATGACTCAGTCCACTTGTCAATGACTTCATGGATTTGTGCCATGTTTTGGTCTGGCCGCCCCTAGCATTCTTCCAACCTACTCCTATACCACTGAACATCGCATGTCGAGGCAGTCGGTCGTTGAGCATACGTAACACGTGTCCCAGCCATCTCAACTGATGGAGTTTCACCACTTCATTGATTGATTTGCCATCCTTACCTAGTACCCGTTTCCTAGCAACTGCATTACTTACACGGTGGTCCTAGGATATACGAGCAACGCTTAGAAGACATCTATGATCGAATACTAGTAACCTACGAATATCTTCTACTCTTAGACCAGATGCGCAAGCGCATCCTACTATATGGAAGGAAGACATGAAGGCGATCAGTTCTGCAGACTACACTGAGTACTGCAAAATCGACTTCACGTATTATTGTGGGAGGCATAAAATCACGTCCAGTAGTTATAAAAAACGTAATTCAAACATCTATACCCTTGGAAGCTCCAAAGAAGAAAATTCACGGTCATCCCCGGATAGACCGGGAAATCCCATGTTTGCCAAGACAAAATAAAAACGTTGGGACGTCAACATCAACCTTCGGACAGTGAATACAAGTTGTTCCGAAACAAGTGTATAAACATAATCCGAACAGCTCAGAGGAAATACGGAAAGCAGTTGACACAATCTGTAACCCCGAAACAATTAACGAGCGATATCCCATTAGATATTGGTGGCCAAGTTGATAGAGCAGCAACTGACGATCCTGACAAAACCATTACCGTCCAGAGTAGTTTCGATGTAGACGTTGCGACTGATGGAAAATGGATGACACGGGAACGTAGAAGAGTATGAAAGATAGCCAAAACTACTCCGCCAAAGTCCCAAAATAAGACCTCATCAAACGTTGTTGTGAGTCATCCGCTCGACTCTGTTACAAAGAAAACTAACAGTAATATGCCAGCAGTTAATATGCAGGATCTGACATCACAGTCGAAAGCTGTGAATACGATTTTCAAAAAAGTCAAACCCCTTCCTAGTTTCATTATTTGGAATCTAGAGGAGTTGAAAGACAATGACCTTAATGAAAGACATGCAGACGGTCTGCAGTTAGTGAAATCTGTAGTCAGAAATGTGCTGTTTGAAGAGGTTTCAGGGGTACATATAACGAAGGTAATAAGACTCGGTAAATGGGTCGGAGGCCAGACCCAACCAAGAAGGATCTTGAAATTGGTATTCGGGAATTTCGAAGAGAGAGACATGATATTGAATAACGCACCCAAAACTCGTGATTCAAATATTCGTATCCGACCAGATTGGTCGCTTGAGGATCGAATGAAGTGGAAGAATGCTCGTACAGAGTTAAGAACTCGAATGCTAAATGGTGAAACGAACCTTACGATTAAGGGTTTTCGGGTAGTCAGATCTTGGGAGCCAATGCTTCCGAGGCCTGTATGGGTAGAACGAATGATTCCCAAAGCATCTTAAAAGTATGCTACACGAACGCCCGTAGTCTTCGAAATAAAACGTCCGACCTAAGTTTGATGATGGATAAATTAAGTCCCGATATAATTGTCGTTATAGAAACTTGGCTCACCGTAGATATAGATTGTTCTCCCATCATTGCAGGTTACATCTGTATTAGAAGTGATAGTGAGGAGGCATAATATTATACGTTAGGGATCACTTTCGTATACAATCAATCATATCGGAGGCGCATACTAGTGGTAAATGTGAGGTTGCATGTTGTAAGAATAAATCTAGAAATGGGTTGGTGACTACAGGGGGAATATACCGTAGTCCGTATTGTCTTGCTGACGACTTTATCCTAAGACACATCTGTTCTTGGAGTATGGCAGAATGTTGTCCCATCACTGGAGACTTCAACGCACCGTATATCAACTGAATAGAGCTTATAGCTCCAGGTGGGGGTTTCGATAACGAGCTTTTATCAACTATTATTCAGTGTGCACTTGTACAATGTATCACAAAACCGACACACATTGATTTTAATCATGATCCGTCACTGCCAGACCTCGCCCTCACTCACCACTGTGAGGATGTCTTTGATATTCAGCACCTTCCCCCACTAGTGAATACTGATCACGTTGTACCTCACTTTAAGTTTAGGACACATGGTATACAATTCGTATCTCCCCCACCCCGTCCCAATATCTGACGAGCAGATATTCCGGAAATCGGAAACTGTGCTATCTCGACTGATTGGTCGGTCGACGCGGATGGATTGGTCGAAGGTGAATGGAATAAGTGTAAGGTTACATTCAAGTCCGTAACGTCGCCGTTTATCCCATGGTCAGCACGTAAGCTATGACACTGCCCTCCATGGATTAATAAGGAAACTCGGAAGCTGTTGAAGCGTAGGAAACATTTCTTGGACTTATTCCTGTCGACAGGACACGCATCATTCAAGTATGAATACCAAACAACTCGGAATATATGTAAAAAGACCATAGCCAAATCCAGTACTACTTACGAACGACAGTTGGCATATGATAACCGTACTTGTCTGAAACGATTCTTTTAGTATGTTAAACAGCAAACAAAAGATAGTGATGGTGTTCCCTCATTGTTGTTACACGAAAACTCAGATTTACTGGCTGAATCAGATCGGGCAAAAGCTGAGACTTTTTCAAAGTATTTTAGCGAAGTCTTCTCTACGTTTATTGTAACAAATACTTGTCCCACTCACACCGAGATACCAACCATGGAATCTGTACAGGTGACTGAGGAAACTGTCCTTCCGTTGATAAATAACCTCAAACCTGGTAAGACACCGGGCCCTGATGGGTTACATCCACGGTTGCTGTCATATCTTACGGACATCATTTCAAAACCGCTCGCGATACTCTTCAACATGTCCCTCTCACTCACTCAACTCCCTAGGGATTGGAAGGACGCTATAGTCAGTCCTATATTTAAGGACGGCCAGAGACATATAGTATCTAACTACCGGCTTGTTAGTCTAACTAGCATAATCGTTAAGTTACTTGAAAAGTTAGTTCGGGTTAGGTTGCTAAGCCACATAGATTTACACAATCTGTTAGCTCCTGAGCAACACGGATTTCGTAACAAGCGTTCATGCTTGACTAATTTGCTTATTGCGAGGGAGGATTGGACAGCAGCCCTAGACAAAGGTCTGTCGGTCGACGTGATATTCATAG